TGCCCGCCCGCTCCCTGCCGCCGCACCAGCTGGGTGACCTGCGCGGCGCGGCCCCCCTCCACTTCCCCCACGTCTGTGCCCTGTGCGACAAGAAGATCTTTGATCTGAAGGTGAGTGGTTCTAAGGTGCCCCCGGGGCACGGTTTGGACTCTTGAACAGGCTGCCTGGTGATTGACCTGGCTGCCGGCTTCTGCCACCCCTTGCCTCCAGCGTCCATCGCCGCGGAGGTGCCCTGAGAGAAGCGGAAACAAAGGGCCATAGTCTCGCTCAGGGTGTCGTACATCTGTTTCATGGCAATTACTGGGGTTTCAAGGTCTGTTTTGTTTCGCATCTCGCTGTGGAAGGCGGTGAGATTACGGCGCTGGCGTGAGAAATGGGAGGTCCGGGCTGGGGTCGCAGCTCGTCTCATGGGCCCAAAGTGAGGGGAGGAGGAGCTTGAAGCTGATCCCCTGCTTCTCAAGCTGGCATTGCAACAGCACATCTGCGTTTTCATCAGCCTCTCCCTTTCTCTTTGCGTTTCTCATCACAAAGGCTTCTCCCTAACAGCCTTGTGGAAGCAGCTTGCTTAAACAAAACAACGTGTTTTGATGAAATGATTTTAATAATTCCTCTGTTGGGATCTCTTCCTCCTTCTAATAGCTCTAAGGAAAATTTAGGACTCAGGGTCCCCAACGACTGGCCTGGAAGCAAGAAGCTGCTCGGCACGTGTGGTGCAGACCACACTCCCACTTCTCTGCTCATACTGCCAAGGGAGCTCCAAATTCAACCTCACCTTTGAAAAGAAGCTTCCCGCTTGCCCAGAGAGCCTGTGTGCTTGGTCACGTTATATAGGTTAGGTCTGGAGAAGCCTCTGAGCCCCACATCCATACGTGGGCGCTGGCTGGCATTTTTCTGGCCTCCTGGTGAGCCCCACTCAGCAAGCCCTTTTCCATGGCATCGCAAGACCGGCACCTAACTGCAAAGGCATCTGTTTACACGCTGATGGTAGCCTGACAAAAACGTAACAGCAGCATGTATATAGGAAGGAAGATGGCCAGCAGATGAAATAGTACCTGATACTTACACACCCCGGGGTTTTGAGATATTTGAATATATTTACTCTTCCATGTTTCCCTTTTACTCTTTGAGCAGCTGCTTGCAAGAGGGTTTGCTGTTGTTACTGCTGCTTGCAGGACTGGCCTGAAGTAGCCCCCGTCTAGGGCACGCTGAGCATTCCTTTTTTTTAATTAAACATTTTTAAAGGGCAGGGAAAATGTCATTACAGTGAGTTTCGGTTGATCTGTTTGTTGGTGTTTAATACACTACCTCATTTGGATCATGGAAGTGTAAATAGCTAAATATACTTCGACAAATTTTGCGAATCTGTTGAAATGAATAAAAGCTATCCTGGCTGCCCTGTGTGCTGAGCACCTTCGTTATGGATGTTGCAGCTCAGCGCCTTGCAGGATGGGCTCTTCAGCTAGAGTGAAGTTAACTGAATTAATAGAAGTATACTGGATTTAAAAACTAATACAGAGAAGCTCTCCTTTTGTAAAGTAACATGTAATTTAACGTACAAATAACGAATCAGTAAGTGCATTGGTTGAAGGTGCACTTGGGATCAGTGTCACACAGTTTGATCTTCCACATCTCAGTATTGTTTTTAGAATGAGGTAAACTGAATGAAGAAGCAATCTCTTGTAAATTTGTCTCAGGATTTTTCCTATGCTCATCATATCTTTGTTTCAACATAGGACTGGGATCAGCACATTAAGGGAAGTCTTCACATCCAAAAATGTATGGCTTTTTCAGATAAGTAAGTATTATTTTAGAGACGCTCTTCCAACTGAATTTCTAACAGAGCATCCCTTACTTCAGTGGCTTTACATCAGGAATGTGCTGTCTAATAATTATGCTTTAATATTTATGGCACATTATGCACGCTCCTAAAGTTCTTTTCTTTCTTTTCCAGCACTGGTATCCGGTGTGTGTTAAGCTCAGCAGATGGAACATTGCATTTATCACCAAATAATGCAGCAGTTTTCAATCCATCTAGTATCGAAGGTGAATGGTTGTATATTCAATAGTTAAAACCACTTTTTTTTAATTGAAAGGGAAGTCTGTCTCTGGGGAAAAGTGGACATTTTAAAGGAAATATGTTACAAGTTTCCAAGGAAAACATTTTAGAGGTTCTGCACAGAAAGGCTAAAAGCCAATACTGTGCCTTTCAAAGTATGAATTTATTTATTACTATATATTATTTATCTATTTATTATTATTAACAATGACTTGTTTTCACAGTGCAACAAAACAATGTATAATTTGGTGTAGAGTCTATGAAATTAATTATTATGTAAATGAGGCATTGCTTACTGAGCACACTAATGCAATTAATATGAGTCAAGATTTTCATGAAATGTGTGTAATCCATTATTTAGATTATCCACCAAATGTCGGCTCATCTTTTATCGCTACGTCAGCAAGATCCTTTGGCCAGCCAGGTCCTACATTTTCTTCTCCTCCATCAGGGGTAAGAGTGAGTACCTAAGCAAACTGATCTCCGTGTGGAGGTTCTTGTAGAAGCCACTTCTGCTTACTGGAATTAAAACCATGAAGGCTTCCTTTCAGACAATAATCTGAATATTCCGTCTGTTATTTCAAGTTTCCTGCAGCTCTTTTATGCTTTTGATTTTGGCCAAATCAGAACTTGATTGTAGGTTTTCTTCCCAGTGCTAAAAGTTGTTTGCTTGTTAGATTTGGGGAGGGGAGTAAATGGTTTTGTGTGTATCCCGTTGGCTTCTCCCCCACCCCCCTTTTCTCCGTCTTTTTGACCCAGGAAGGTCAGCTTCAGCTTGGAATGAAGATTGGGATTAGTTTTTACTTATTCTGAGTATCAGCTCCACCGAGCAGCCTGCCATCTCCCCAGTTATTTATTTGTAGCAATTGCTCTCTGCCTCTCTCATGCTGGGGTCCTTCTCCTAGGTAGCAATAGTGGCAAAGATAGTGGCTGGGGGGTGGCTACTCACCTGGGGGTCCCAGATCAATTCATTGTACCGGACTAGCTTTTTCTTACTATATTTTAGTGGACTATTTATATCATCTGCTGCCACTGGTAACCTTTCAGCAAGTTTGCTTTGGTGTACAGCCTTCCATGGTTTAGGTTTATTAGCCCCCCCAGCATTGAACACAGGTCCCCAGTTGTATTGCTCTAACACACACTTGAATTCCTAGCCCAATAATCAAAAAATGCCAGAAAAAAAAGATAATGTTAAAAGTGGTTCTTACACTGACAAAGCAGAAAGATTTTAAAAGGGGGGGAAAAAAAAGAAGAAAAGCAAAAAAGGCAAATAAAAGCAAATCATATACATAATGGAAATACAATGTTGTTAGGGTTAAAGTAAAGCTCAGCATATATCAGAAAGCTACGATTAAAGCCAGAGGTGTCAAGGACTCATGTCAGGGCATTCATGGAATAGCAGCAGTAATCCAGGGGTTCAAGTTTTCACCTTGTCAGCTTTTGTGTATATATCCTGATGTGGTCTCAGGCACTCTGGAAAGCCTGGCTGAGTTGTGTCCCTGCGCCACGCCAGTTTGTACCGGGCATTGCTTACAGAAACGTCACACAGGTTTGTTTAATCCAACCAATTTGAAGGGGGTTTAGCTTCTGCCTGTCACAGGCACTGTGTGTGCACGGGAGCACAGAGCAGAGCTGCTCACGGCTGCTGCCTCCAAGGTCAGAGGTGGAGTAGCAGCGGGTGCAGAGGAATGTTGCTTTTCATCATGTCTGTCAACCTCGCAACAAATGAAATTACTGCTAATGCCAGTATCATTTCTCCTTAGAATCTGTCACTATTTGTCATTTAAGCTGCCTGCAGAAGTCCTCCTTCTGAATGATGAGCAGTACTATGAGAGATAAAAGAAAATGTAACTTGGACTTTCCTGGATACCGTAAATCCCCTTTTTCTTCTGAAGCTCATCGGGTGGACAGGGAGCTATATTGGAGGTGTTAAGACTGAGTCTGCCAGCTGTCATTCACCTCGCAACTCAGGTGGCTTATAATTTATTACACCTTTGCGCAGTAGTATTCACTTTCAGCTAAGCTGCTGCCATTTAACTGAGCAGTGGGAGATTATACTTGACCCTGCATGTAGCCATAAACGAAGTGTTCACATTTCTGGAAGAGCTTGTTCTGTGCTATCCCATCTGCAAATAACTGTATCCCTCTTAAGAAGGCAAATACAGTGCTACAAGTCTTCACTCAGGCATGAAGAACCATTAGCACTGGAGGGGTGGGACTGCCAGTTTCTTATTATCTTTGGAAAAGATTCATGCGAAGCTCAAGAAAGGGATAAAGAATTTGAAAAGCAAGAAACAAAAAATCAGAAAAAAAAACTGCAAGAAAAAATAACCAAATTGGTTCAGTGAAATAATATGGCGAACGGTATGAGGTGCATTTCACTGCTGTGCATCAAATTGTTTTTGTAGTAGTTGTCCAACTGCATTGGTAAACCTCTGTAGTCATCAGTTGCAAAGAAAGTTAACTTTGAGTCTTACTGAAAATTACATTCCACACTTGGCACGCAACAGCTCCTCTAACTTCCTGACTGTGGGTATGGAAGGTGCATATTCCTTTTCTAGCTGTGCTTTGCAGCTCTATTTAATTAATGGATCCAATTTAACTTCAATCAGCTGACAAGATTATTGCTTCTGGTATGAGTATGTGACCACTCCTTAATCGTGAATTAGAGCAGATTTATGGCGTAGCATTTTAATTTAAGCCATTGCCAATTGTGAGGAGGTGGTAACATCTTACAGTCATTTGATTTAATGTACTGCTGAGCGCGTGTCCAAACACAGTCTCTGGAGCCTACGCAGGGAACAGCTAAGTCTTTCTAGTCCCATAGACTCTTAGCATACCGTCTCTTAACAGATCTAACAAAACAAACAAAAGGTGCCAGGTGACCTGGGGTGTTCCTACACTGGGACTGCATTCGCTGTCAGGAAAGTTTCCTTTTCCTCTGCTAGGTGTAGTTGTATTCTGCTGTTGTGCGCTACATGCTGCCTTGCCGGATGCGTGCAGCCATCACTTCCTTTTCTATTCAAGTAGAGTTGAGCTGCTTCATCGTTTTCAGGACCAGGTCTTGTTATTTTTCTGCTACAGAAAATATCTTATTTCTGCACATCAGCACTTCTTTGACTTACCTTATGCACCTGGGCAGGCTCTGTAAGATGCAAGCTAAATAGCAGACCACTGTATAACACAGGCTCTTGCTGCAGCAAAAATACACAAATGGTTAAGTGGTGAAGCCTGGAGGGAAGGTAATGGGATGAAGGTGTAAATAAGATAACATTAGCTCTGTAACTTGTGAACTTGCTGACAAGCCAAACATTTGTGATGGCTCTGGTGAACTTGATCCCACAAGATTACGTGATTTGCATCTTCCCTTGAATGGCACAATTTTAACTGACAGTAGAGTTGCTTCTTCAGTAAAATCCTAACAGCAAAGGTCATAAATGGGGAAGTAGCCTGGGAAGATTTAATCCTGTGTGAGCGATGTTTCGCGTGTCATTAGCTGAGGTAAATTATGTTCCTCTCTGAATACACCCTGATGCCTCTTTGCACAAGGAGTGTAGAGCCTGCTTTCCATGTCAGGGAGACGGGCAGCTCTTTGGGAACTGCCCCAGCACTCCAAAATAGACTTCCACCCTTGGGAAGCGATTAAGACGCCAGCGGCTGTGTGCCTGTGCCAGCCCAATTCGGGAGCTCTGCCTCTGTGCATGTCCAGTGGTCACCATGCCCCGAGGGGAGAAGCCCCTCCTGCTGTGTGTTGTTACAATGAGAGGGGAAAGTAGTAGGTTTTCCAACCTGAGGTACAGCTGTGTGCCCTCTCACAAGTTAAACGGGGTCACTTTTACCCCCAGCCCAGTCTGTTCCACCAGGGCAGGAGGAGGATTTAAAATCAGCCCCTACTACCCTGAACACCTCTGTAGTCACCTGAACTGATTTCTAATGTCCATAAATTCAGCAGGGACTGCAGTGAGCATCTGTTTCCATTTCCAGGCACCACTGGCACCACATAGATGGACGTTTATGGAATACTTGAAAATATTAATTTTTTGTGCGTTACTTGCAAATTACCTGCTAAGGGCCTTTACTCAGCAATAGTGCATGGTGCCTTCACGTGCGGGGAAGGCACAGAGCACCCAGTGGGACAGACAGATGCAGACGGGGTGAGGAAGGCCGTCTGGCTTGGCAGAGGAGCCGTAGGGGTTGTGCTGGCGTACTGTCCAGGAGGAAGCTCGTCAGGAGGGGCTGAGACCTCCTCATGGCAGAGGCACCCTCAATCTCCAAACAACAAGGGGCTTCCAAACTCTCACTGGTGCTGAGTATAGCGCAGTGGCCAGCCCTCTGCTGTGACATGCAAGGGAGCTGAAGCCCTGGAGTCCCTCAGGTCTGAGGTGGCAAGCTACCTTTTGCAGCAATATCGTTAGTCCTGTTTGAACAAGAGCATCTCTTCTAGAAATCCTCTCTGGACTTTGTAATGTCCAGGGATGGAGATTCCATTGCAATCTGCACTGCAGTTAAACATTTCCCTTCCCATTTGTATTTCTAAACCAGGATGATAAAATGCAAGGTTTTAAAGAAGGATATTTGTCCTTAATAACAGGTACGCAGAACAGAACGTTTCATTTTTTGCAGAAATGTAAGGTCTTATCTAGTGGATGGAATATCTAAGATAAAAACATCGTTTTGAGTTGTTTTTTTCCCCAGTTTCCCCAGAGGAAATCTACACTGGGTCGAGTTGTTCACATCTGCAACCTCCCCGAGGGAAGCTGCACAGAGAATGATGTCATTAACCTGGGCCTCCCGTTTGGGAAGGTCACCAACTATATCCTCATGAAATCCACTAATCAGGTACTGTGCATTTGGGGTCACCAGTATTGATGTCTGTTGGCATAAAGACATATTGACATGGCGACAGAGTCTTTGGGGAAAATCTCTTTTTTTTTGTAATAGAAACTTAAAATATATAAAGCTTGCTCTTAAAGTAAAAAAAAATTGGTGCTCGCAGAATGAGATGATGGCATAAACATGACCACTGCCTCATAGTTCTTGTTAAAAAACCCCAGAAATCTCAATGAGGAAGCATTGTAAAACTGTACTTTTAAAAATATTGATAACAATATTTTCAAAAAGTTAATAACTTGGCCACCTTCTCTCAGCATTTGTTAGGGTTACTTTCAGACTTCTCTTGTCCTGTTTGGGAGGTTTTTATTCCTTTCTTACCCATTCTCGTAGAGCTGAATTGGGCATTAAAGAATGACTTTCACTGTAGCCTGGTTCGGCTGTCCTGCACTGTTTGCTGAACTGTTGTTACAGCAGAGGCAGATCCCGCGATGGTGTAATTACAGCTGCAGGCTGGTGGCAGAGCCCCCGGGCCCTGGCTGTGCTGGGTGATCTGGCACACACTGACACCTCACTCCCTTTTAATCTGCACCAGATTGTAGTAGAGCTCTTTCTTCAAGGTGGTTTAAGTCTAGTTTAAGTAGCTCAAGTCTACCAGTGGTGGTAGGCTGGGAAGACTAGAAAATGTCTCACATACCTGCAGCAGACAGTAAGGATGGATATAGAATCCCCGTCAGTGGGCTGTGTTTGAGATTTTAATGTTTCAAAATGCAGCCGTTGCACAGCTGTGAGTATATTCCTTGACAAGTTAAACTGCAGTCACATCAAATGCAATTTTTCACAGAATTGCAGAATGGCAAGGGTTGGAAGGGACCTCCAGAGATCATCTAGTCCCACCCTCCTGCTAAAGCAGGTTCACCCAGAGCAGGTTGCACAGTACATTGTCCAGGCAGACTTTGAATATCTCCAAAGAAGGAGACTCCAGAACCCCCCTGGGCAGCCTGTTCCAGTGCTCTGTCACCCTCAAAGTAAAGAAGTTTTTCCTCATATTCAGCTGAAACCTCTTATGTTTCAGTTTGTGCCCATTGCCCCTTGTCCTGTTGCTGGGCACCACTGAGAAGAGTCTGGTTCCGTCCTCGTGACATCTACCCTTAAGATATTTGTATGTGTTGATGAGGTCCCCTTTTGTGTAAATAAAAGTGCTAGGTAACATCTTCCAGTTTTTTTACACTCTTTTTTGGCTTTGTTCTGGCTGCTCATGCTCTCATGTTCTGCTTTTATCTGGATCCCTTGCAATTCTGCAAGACAGCTGATAATCTCGGGAGCCGTGCGTGCTGCAACATTGCAGTTCTGCATCCTGTCAGCAGCTGACCGTGGTGTAGAAGCACCAGTGAGGAAGCGAAGGACAGGTGATGGCTTCATATATTGCGAAAGATTAGATTCCAATCATTTAGTTTTTAACTAAACAGGCTTCTAAAGTTTCGTATCAGCTTTAATGCCTGGGTTGAAGCCATTATTTGCAGTTAAAAGGAGGCTGAGCAATGGACTGAGTGTTAACTATTTCAGCTCCAGGGCTGGAGAACTAGCCAGTTCTGTACTACCAAGACATTCTGCATGAGAAGAATCCAAACGAAAATTATTGTGCTGCCTTTTCTCTATTATACTTTGTATTTTTAATTATGTAGTAGATTTTAAAGCTCTCCTCATTTGTGCTAGGCCTTTCTGGAAATGGCTTACAGTGAAGCAGCACAAGCCATGGTGCAGTACTACAAAGAAAAACCTGCTATGATAAATGATGACAAGTTACTTATTAGGATGTCTAAAAGATACAAGGAGTTGCAGCTGAAGGTAAGATAGTCATTCCTCAATGGCACGTCCTGGAGAGTACATCTAAAAATCTTTGCTGATTACTGATTTCTAATTAATGCTTTAATATTATTGAAAAAAGAAATTAAGAAATATAAATTAAGGAATGTATGTTAATGATCTTTTATACTTAGCTGCTTGTTCTTGTTCTAAATTTTAACTCTTGGAAGAGATCCCATTTTCTCTAGTCTTCCCATACCATTGTTTCAAAAATCCTTTCTGAGCTTCCTTCTGAGCAGGCTCCCCACATTGCTTGGTCTAACAAAGGTCTAAAACACAGCCATGTGTAACATACAACATGTTAGCAGAAGAAAGATAGTCCTATCCTTTTAGTCAGGCATTAAGCCTGAAGCAGTGCTTTTCAAAGCTTGCATGCTTGAGCCATAATACCGTCGCTACACCAAGCAGTGAAGGCAGGGCTAAACATCACACTGATTTATTTTTCTTTCTTACTTGTGAATGACCTAAATTAAAAAGCAAGATTTTTTGCTTTTTGTTTTTACATAGAGTCAGAACAGAGCAATAGTCTTTGGCTTTCTTGTAGAGCATGTGATGCTTGTGATGTGGATACCTGAGTGATGTCCAAAAATCGGTGCTCTTGTGCGCATATTTATGGAAGCTTATGTACTGCCATGTGTAATGCTAAGAGATTATTTTTTTCATGGAGACTTTGACTGGAACTGGCAGAGCTGAAAAGCATCATATTATATTATCTAACACAGCAAAAAGTTGTTTTGTAAAATAACTCTGTAATGTTCCAAGTCAAGAGGTTAAGGGGCCTTTTATGAGCCTTGAGGAAAAACAGTTAACTCAGATGCTCTGGTTTGGCCTTTGGAAAAGTCTCCTCCTCTGTACATGCGTAATAGTTTAAGGAGACTTAAAGGAGTTGCCAAAAGACCGTAAACCAGGGCAGTCTTAGTGTGGTATGGTGAGGGATTCAGATGTAAGGTGGCAGAGAGTGTGCATCTTAACATAGAGATGGAACAGGAATTACCCAGAAAAGTGTGGGAGTTTGCCTAGATTTCAGGAAGATTTTCAGCTTTTCCAGTGGCAGTTTTTTAGGTCCTGGAATTATTTTTCCCTGCACGAGCCCTTTCCCTTTGTTAAAACCAAACAGAAGTGCAATGTGGAAGGGGGAATATGCATGGGCTAGTTACCACTACAGACTGCTCTGAGTTCCTGCATGATTATGTTGCTCAGCTGTGCATGCTCCAAGTGTTTGACAAATTGCATGCACTCCAGCCTGGAGTAGTGCATCTTTTGTAAATGATCTTGAATCTCAAGCATTCAACACTTCCTGTACGCATCTTTCTTGCACTTAGCTTTTCTGAAGCTCGTGTGTGTCTAAACATAGTCTTTTAGAGCTATACTCCAAACTCAGAGGTGAGAGAAGGCAGTTCATTCCTAGAGGGTCAGAGATAGGCTGCTATACATATTTAACTCAGACATTAGAAAAATTGTCTGGTTTGTTTCCTCTTACATCCAATTCCGAGAAAATACTCTGTAGTGAATGCGTAACAGGGAAGAACAAGCTAGTCTTCAAAGCCTGTTACAGCAGCCAAGTATGAGAAGACTGCAACAACGTAATGGACCAAATTTTCCATTTGTATCATTTTACTGCTTTGATCGTGTTATTGAGATACCAGCTGCAGAAAAGACTGTAACCACAACACTGAAACCAAATATTTCTCAGTAGTAATATAATTGAATGATGCATGGATGCTGTTTCTTGAAGGACAAATCACCTATATTAGCTTGGAGAGTAGCGCAGCACACTAAACAGTGTCTTTGTCTTATTTAGAAACCAGGTAAGAATGTGGCTGCTATCATCCAGGACATCCACTCGCAGAGGGAGAGGGACCTGCTGCGTGAAGTGGACAGGTAAAGTTTCTCCATAGCTCGGAATCAGGACCTGGACAGGTCTGTAAACATGCAGGTGGAAAAAGCATTATCTGTGTGCTACCCTCTCTTATCTCATTTGCTTTCTTAACTTAGATTTCACTTCAAATCACTGTAAAAATATAAGTGGGTACAATAGTAGGTAAAGGGCCTGTATAATGAGATCAGATTGAAACTGTGCATGTTGTGAAAAGACATGAACTCTTTCCTGCTGCTGATGCTGACTCGGAAGCGTGAAGGAGACGGTTAAATGTATTTGGGTATATTTCTGATCTGCCTGACTTCTGGACCTTCCAGCAAAAATGGAGAGGAATCACAGTCCTAAAGGATCTCTTTTAAACAGGTGACCTTTGTCACTTTGGTCTCTGAGGTGCCCTGGATGAGTGAGCAGTAAGGGTACAGACATTAGGGTCCTTGTAAAGGTATCAACATGTAAGCTTTTAATGCTAAACCCCTATGAGACACTTTTAAGAATGAATGAATATATTCTTGACAGACCTGTGGGGATTTAGTTAAACTCTGTGGATATGACACTGCCTTTTCTCCTGTTCACTGTGTTTGCAGCTTTGCAGTGCATGTCTGTGAAAGGCTTGGGGTCTCAGGGTCGCAGGCACCAGGGCAGCCCCCATGTGTTTCCAGTGTACAAAAACTTGGTAGACCACAGTGGGTCAGCCAGTTACAGCTGCCTTTTCCCTCTGCAGCAGGTATGGCACGGAGAGGCCCCGCTCTCGCAGCCCCATCAGCCGCTCCCTGTCGCCCCGATCCCACACTCCCAGCTTTACTTCCTGCAGTTCACCCCACAGCCCGATGGGAACCGGCAGGACCGACTGGGGAAATGGGAGAGAGTCGTGGGATCAGTCCCCGTATTCTCGACGGGAAGACGAAAGAGACAGCAGAGAATGGCGAGAGAATGGGGACGAGAAGAGGGACAGGACTGACATGTGGGTACACGAGAGGAAACATTATTCCCGACAGCTGGACAAGTTTGATTTGGATGAACGGCTTGAAGGAGGCAGAGGGCACAGAGAAAAATATTTAAGGAGTGGTTCCCCTGGCTCCCTTCATCCTTTATCTGGCTACAAGAGCAGGGAAGATGACTATTACCGAAAAACCTCCAAGTCAAAATCTGACAAGTTTCAGAGGCAGCTGCAGGATTTACCTGGGAGATCGAAGAGAAAGGAAGAGGCAAAGTTAAGGGAACGCAGGCATTCTTACAGCGAGGACGCTGCCAGGGAGGAGGCAGCTGAACAGAAGCACAGCAAAGCATCTGAGGGCTCCAGGCAAAAACAAAGTGATAAGAATAAGGTGAAGAAAGCTGAAAAAGACCAAGAGGAAGATGCTGTTGCTGAAGGCAGTGATGTGAAGGAAACCAAACCTCCCGAGAATGAGGTAAATAGAGATCTCAAACCATATGTAAGAAGAAGGTAAATGCTGAAGTAATATATTTTCTGAAATATTTCAGATCAGTTGTTGTGGGTGTGGTGCTGGTGACATGCAATGTTTTGCCATGATAAAATCAGGGAATATAGTCCTAGAAGAGATCTTGGGAGGTCATCTTGTCCACGTTTTTGCCCAGATCATGCAGATCTATTACACCATTGCGGTGTTGGGTACATGGACATTGTCTTTCTGTGTCAAGCACAGAACTTCTTGGTAACCAGTGAGGGGAAGGGGACAGACAACTCGCAACAAAACCAAGTGACAATCCATAGGTTGTGTGTGCAGGGGCAACTGCCCTACTGCTCTCTTTTCTGAGGCTGTGCAGAATACCCCATAGCTACTCTCTCTGCATCCATCACCTCTTTCTACTGCCTGTGATGTGGATTGAGTTATCTGGGAATTAAGTTGTATTTTACAGGGATGCACAAAATTTGTAGGACAATACAGGGAACTGGTTGTTACACTGCTAAAATGGGGAGAGAACTTTTAATGAGGAACGTTTTCTTTTTGGTCAACAGAGCAATTGGTTTCCATTAATCGTATGTCCCTACCCGCAGCTGTGGCAGGGATAATTCACACCACTCCCTACAATGTGCTGACAGGAATCTCTTCCCATGGCAGAACCACTGAATCAGCTCACCTGTAAAATTACAGGATTTCTGGAGAAATACTCCCAGCTGGTAAAGCGGCAGCATTTGTGGGTTTGATTCTCCACTGGGAAAAAGTGGAGAGGGAGCAGATGAAGATGCCTCACTTGCTCAGTTCCAATACAGCCCATGCTCATATCCCCACCCCACGGGGATCTCGTTACTGGCTCTTGGCCACCTTGCCTCCCCCAGTCCCCCCTGGTGATAGACTGCCGCCATCCACCCCCAGGGATGCTGGCACAGGAGGCTGCAGAGCTGCTTTGCTGACCAGGGGTCCATCTCTAGCTTGTGACTTTGTGCTGCCAGGGCCATCTTCAGTTGTTTTTAGTTGACCTTTCATTCGTTCTTCTCACGTGGGGGCAAGGTTGATTGAAATCCTTAGATCTTGTAACTCAGCTAGTCTCTGTAACAGGCAGCAGCACTACCTCATGCCATAGATATGTGTGTCTGTACCACCTTTTGTCATCTTTCTCCTTTGGCTGGTATTTCACTGTGATGGATGGTTCCTTGGGAGAAGATATCAGAGAGAAATGTCAGCATCCTAAATCACCAGTGTTGCACACTCCTCTGCATGTTTTTCAAGTTATTTTAAAGTTGCTTTGTTAAAGGCGCACCTCTCCAGGGACTACAGCTAATAATTTATTTTAAAAGCAAGAAATAGGTTTGAATGTCTTGACTTCACTCTTTTGCTTCGCCCCCCCTTTTACAAAGTGCCAGGTAGCACTGTGGTTTTGTTCTTACAAAGTATGAACTGTGCAAGCAGTCACGTTCTGGACTGATCCTACATCAATAAACAAAACAGTTGAAGGCTTTTGCAGAGTTTTAATGCTGCTGCTCTCCTTACCATGTCTGAGCCAACATAACAGATGTGGGTAGAGAACAGAGGAGTGGAGGCTGGAAATTTTAACGAATTCACATTCTCCCCCACCTGCCTTCTAGCCAATTGAGTGATGTAAATTACATCTCTCTAATTTTGTTTAAATTTCTTTTTCTTAATTCTTATTTACGCAGCTTTGCTAATGGAATCCAATTCTTGGGTCTTTTCCCACAGCCCAGTTGACTTGCATAAACTTTAGAAATAAAGAATGTGACCTTGTGGTGACTTTGCTTCCCTAAACCCAGAATAGAAACATAATAGAGCACCACTGTGTGTTGCCATACGTGTATATGTTGTATTTATTTTAGCTTGGAAAAGAAGAGCAAGTTCCAGAGAAGAGCTCACCTTCAGCTAATAAACAAGGAAAAGAACCTGGAGAGATTCTGGAAAACACAAGAAAAGAGAAGGTTGGTGACACGTTGTTGGTGCAGCTTCCATGACAAAATGAGTGAAAACCCAGGTTTGGCAGAACATTCTCCCAACTGAAATATTAACCCCCCACAGAAAGGCATGTAAAGGGGGTGTAGAAGGGGGTTGTCTAAATTAACTTGCCTTATCTTGACCTCTGCTTTAAGGGATATCTTTTCCTGAAGTCTCCAGAACTCTTTTTTTAGTCGCTCTTTGCCCATGTACATTGCTTCACATGCATAGTCCTTGGCACTGGCAACTGTAAGTAACGTATGCCCAAGTGAACTGTGTAACTTTGTGAACCATGCCCAAAAATAGGTGATGTCGTCAGTTGGTGGAGAAGGAGGGGACTAATGATGAAAACTTTTCAGAACATTGGCCTTACATGGACTGTGGATAGTAGCCTCTTCTGATTTTTTCTGGTTTTAATTAAATAATGTCTTTGCAGCACCCCTACTGCAGCGCCACAGTCGGGGACAGCAATGTCCTTGGAATTCCTCCAGCTTCATATCTGTAGGGTCATGGGTTGATGGTCAGATATGGAAGCTATTGATATCTGTTGCTGTAGAAAACTGATCTCCTGGCAAGAACAGTGTCAACTCCCAGAGTTTTCATGCTGTTTTAGGATTCTAGAAGGGGAAGTGTGGGAATGGCCAAACAGGAGGAGAATACTGATTATTAATAGATTATGTGTACACCATGAGTCTGGGAGTTGAAATCTAAGCTGCAAGTGAGTCTGAAAAGTACCATATACCTTATAATACTAACATTTCTGAAGTCCAATAGTAGTGTCTGGGTCCTGTAAGTCTATAACTGCATGTATGAGGTATTTCAGATTATATGCCTTAGAGTATAACTGTAAAACTGATTTTTCTTAAAGTCTAGGCCAACCTCTACCAGCACAGTCCCTGGCAGAGGGCTTTTGCTGGTGGAAGTCAATTACTACAGAAGGTAGCCACGTTTTCTCAGTCACCGTAGGAATTTAAAGGACCTGGGCCAGCAAAGTGAAAGCCACAGCAGCTGGACTGGGGTTCAGTATATTCTCATTGTGCTGCCTATTTTTCGCCACCCTGGGATGGACATAGAGGAAGGGGAGAGGTTCATTTCCTCGGGGATCACGTAGTAGGATCAGCTGCATGATAAAGTATCACAGGTTGTGCCTTGTTCCACTGCTTACAGAAAAGCATGGAGCAGGAGACTGGGGAGACTGTAATCCCCAAGGAAGTTACAGGGTCTCCACAAAGTGAAGTTTACGTGATAATTAAAAAGAGATTGCTTGTCCTTGTGCATAAGGTTTAAAATCACAACACCAAGGCATATCGTTCTTTGAAACCAAAATACAAGAGGGGTTAGGCATGGCCAGATCAAAGTTCTTCATGGTTACTGATGTTCAAAGCCCACTTTTTAACACTGGTGATCTGTAATCACTGATCTCTCAAATGTTTTATATCTCTGTGACAGGACCGAGACTGGGAGAGTGGAAGTGAGCTAGAAGGTGAGACCTGGTATCCTGCAAACATGGAGGAATTAGTGACAGTAGATGAAGTGGGAGAAGATGATTTAATTACGGAGCCAGATATAACTGAACTTGAAGAAATAGTACCAGTTGATCAAAAAAATAAAACTGCTTCAGAAATGTGTCCCTGTATGTCAACCATGTTAGAACTGAAGAACGATCACAGCCACTTAACCAGGAGCGAAGACAGATTTGCCCATAAAGCTTTAGAAACAAACTTCAGATCAGCAAAGGGCAGTGTAGCTTCTAGCGGCTGTCAGGATGATGATGAGGATGATGATAATGATGATGCTGTAACTGAAGCATCAAGCCTAAATCTGGACCCTGAGCAGAAGCCAGAGGAATTGCAAGAAGACCAATCTGCTAAGGAGTCTGATCCCCAGCAGAAGGAAGGAAAAATTGATAAGAGCTCTGACACTCGCTTAGAGCCCGAAGATCACCATATACCTTCTGTTCATCTGAAAGAAGAGACTCTCCAGCTCCCTGATACATTTATAGATGATTACAAACAGATGGGATCACAAGGAGCTGAGAGCAGAGAAGTTATGGAAATGCTTGTTAAAAACGCTAGTGAAGAAACAAGACACGGAAGCCAAGAGTGTCCAGAGGCCAAGGGTAACTACTGTTGTTTTTTTTCTTTTCAGCCCACAGAGAGCCTTGCGTGTTTTTTCTGACAGTAGACTGAAATTTATTGCTAAAGAGAATAAATGTTGCTAATGGTATCAAGACTTGTCCTTGGAGCAGCTAAGTAAAAGTACCCCGGTGCCTTTTGCCAAGCTAAACCATTAGAGGCTCTTAGCCGAATAGTGTAAAGGAAATATGATAAGCAGCTTGCAAGCTTTCTGAAAGGCATAAGCTGCTATAATTGTCATGTCAAGGTTCACATGAGTTTAGAACTCTTTCAGTGCCCTGCTAAATTTATTTTGAATTGTCAATGAAATGATTGACAGTCTCTGAAGGTCAGCAGAAAAGTATCTGTAATGTCTGGCTGGCTCCTGGACGAGGTGGGTATTCTTACACACTGTACTGAAGCGTTAGTAACATGGAAATCATCTGTAGATTGTTACTTCTCAGTCCCTGTTCACACAAATACGTGCCTTTTGTCAGGACTTGCCTTATCATCTCATGTTATCTACTGCATGCTGCCTTTAATATAGCTGATAGGACATGCTGTGAGATAATGCCAATAGATGTAATCATAGCTGCCTATTAATATTTTAGGTGTCAGGAAAAAAAAAGATCTTGAGTGTCTGAAAGTGAGTCCTGTTCCTTGTCACACTTTCAAATGAAACTTGAGAGAATGGGCTGTGCATAATGAGGGGAAGTGGAAAACAACATAGAGCATGTTGGCCAGGAATGCTCTTTTTTGTTGCTACCGGAGCCCGTGTGATGGAGAAAGGTTTTATGAACAGAAGTTGCTGGAAGATTTTTGAGGGTGCAGTTTTCCACCAGAAAATCCTGGAGCATTTACTGTGAAAGTCTGCTTTTGAACTACTTCCTCCAGGACAGATTTGAAACTCCAGGACAGATTGGAAACTCACTTGGTTTTCAATACCTAACCTGTTTGGCCAGAAGACACCTTGCCAGGCTTTGCATATTTGGAGATAACACTGCCATGCAAACTCCCTGGGACTGGGAACGGCCAGGTTGGCTCCCCGGGGCTGCCCACTTCACAGGCAGCCAGCTGACGAAAGAGTTGGGTATCCCCAGAGCATAGTTACTTTGGTGTTTTCAGCATCTCAGCTTCCAGCTTGCCAGCAGGGAGCCTGGAAGCTCCCGGGGAGTTTGTGCTTCCCAGGTTTCTGCCATGGACTTGGTATCTGGGATCTGCAGTGCAAGGCTCTAGGCTCTCTGCAAATGCAGCTGCCAGCTCAGAAGCCCAGAAATAACCTAAGTGGGACTTAAGTTGCCACAAAGGCACTGGGTGTCCTGAGAAGAGTTAGCTGAAGCTTGTGGGTTTTCCAGGATCTCTGCTGCAGATTTGGAAACCTGGGATGTGCTTAAAGTTAACTTGAAAGCCAACCAGTCAGGATTGTATATTATTTTATTTTAAATCATGTAACAGACGTATTTAAAACAATGAAGAAAAATTAATTCTCAAAGCCAGAAATTGCAGATCTTTGAACTACAGACCTGAAAGACAGGAAGGGTTTAATTTGGACAAAAATGTATTTGTTTTATGAGAAAATATATCCCTTATCTAGGTGAAATTTGCAATGCAATAGAATTTTTTTCAGGGTAAGGGAGCTAGTTCTTTGATGTAAGAACTGAAGAATAGGAATCAAACCAGTTTGTCTGTAATTCTGTTGCTCTGTGATAACAAATTTGTCTTTTTTTTAAATAAAAGCAATTCACGTGGTGGGAAGGGAGAGCATCTGTTCTTTTGACTGGCTTTATCTGCCTCAGCAAATCAATCCACTGTTTTCCACACCATGAATCTCCTGCCTGTGTCCATTAATGTTGGTTAGCAGGGACCAACCATCCCATCTCTACTGGCCAGCAACCAAAATCTTCAAGTGGCCAAGAGCCATAAAGCAGAAACTGTCCCTTGGAGAGCTGAGGGTGGCAGAAGAGTGGCTCCAGGGAGATGACAGTGGTGCTGCAGGGGTCCTAGCAGAGGATTTGCTCTGCTCATGCAGCTCCTTAGGGAGTTTGGGGATGTGCTCTCAGCAGGTCCTGCTGGCCCCCCCCTTTCTCAGCAGCCCCCATGTTAGCCCAGCTCCATCACTGGTCATGCAATACTGTACGTGGTTACAGAGCTGCAGTCGGACCATGCTTGTGCCAGAGGCACGTATTATATATATATAATTTTATATAT